CTTCCCATGCAGTTCCCTGCTTGTGGCCTCAGAAAGCAGCAGAGAATTGCCCAAGGCTTTGAGACCCTGCACCAGCATGGGAGACCCAGAAGAAGCTCCTGGCTTTGCAAAATTGCTGGAGTGTATCAGTAAATGGAAGATCTTTTTCGGTCTCTCTCCTTCTCTCTGTAAATCTGTCTTTCCAATAAAGATAAATAAGTCTTTTTAATTTTATTATTTATTTAATTTTAATTTATTTAATTTTAATTTTAATTTATTTAATTTTATTATTTTATGATACAGTTCCACTGGCTCTGGGATTTCCCCACTCCCAAAATCCCTTCTCTCCTCCACTGATTTAAAAATAAAATAATTCCTGAATAGAGATTACAGTCTCTCTCAGTTTGTCTCTCAAATTAAAAATGTTTGATCATTGTGAAAAATAAATATTCACTATACTTAATATCCAAAGTATTAGTGGTTATATTAAACAAAGTTCCTTTGGAGGATACTTGACACAATGGTTAAACAGTTGTGTGTAATGATCACATCCCATATGAGAGTGCATGTTCTGAGACCAGCTCTGCTTTCAATTTCAGACTCTTGTTGCTACACACTTTGTAGGTAGCAGACAAGTGTCTGGTCCCCACGTAGGAGATCTGGATTGAGGACTGGGCTCCCACTTTTGATGTGATCCTGTTAGTAGCAAGTATTTAGGGAGTGAAACAAAAACAAAATGTCTGTCTCGCTGCTTTTCAAACAAAAAAGTTCCTAAAAATCAGTAAGAAAAATTATTTAATAGAAATGTGAGCAAAAACATAAGCGAAGTATGAAACAAATGTGCGTATGTGCACAACTTTCTGTATTCAGTCATCAGTAGATGAACATGCAGTTTGTTTCCATTCCATGGCTGTTGTGAACGGTGCTGCAGTAAATATGGAAGACCAGATGTCTCTTTGACAGACTGATTTGGATAAATAGTAGTAGGACTGCTATATCACATGGTGATTCTATAAAGAAATGAAAAAATGTACAAAATCACTAATCATCAGGGAAATACCAATTAGAAACACAATAAGATTTCCTCTCACGCCTGCTAGATTGGCTATTATCAAAAAGACAAAAGAGAGCAAGTGGTGGCAAGGCTGTAGGAGAAAAAGAATCCTTGCACACTGCTGGTGAGAATGTGAATTAGTACAGCCATTGTGGAAAAAGAATCCATTTGGGGAGATGGGTTATGGCATGATCCGATGAAATGAATCAGTGTTCTCTGAAGAAATGGCAAGGTTAGGGTTGGAGTACAGAAGGTGTGTCATGATGAACCTTGCACGTTTCATAGTTCCAGAAGTATAAAAACACTCCAAAACAAAACAAAAAGATGTTGATATTTCAAAATAACACAAGAATCAGTTTCAGCATACTCTGACTAAAGTTAGGAAAATTGGGGACATAAAAATAAAATAAATAATTATAAATTTTTGATAGAAAAGAATCCATGAGACCATAACATCTACAGAAGAAGAGGACAAATAATAAAACATGTGTTGTAAAATATCAAGATTTGGAGCATTTGAGCAGAAAGTGTATCAGAACTCTCCATATTATTTTTGGAAATTTTTTGAAAGCTCAAGCAATTTCAAAGCTGAAAATTAACAAGAAAATGGGGTTGACATTTGGTGCAGCTATTAAAATGCCACTTGAGCTACCCACAATCCATATCTGAGGGCTCGGGTTCAAGTCCTGGCTCTGCTATCTATTCCATCCTCCTTCTAATACTGGCATTTGGGAGACAAGGTGACATTACAAGTCTTTGGGTCCTGCAATCACATGGAAGATCCAGAGAGAGTTCTTTAGTCCTGGCTTAGGCTTGACCTTGCCCTGGATGTTAAGGACATTTGGGGATCTGGGAACTGAACCAGTAGATAAAAAAAAAATCTCTGTCTCAATCTGTGTTATATCTTAACAATAACCTTCATAATATCTTAACCCTCTTAACCCTGTCTTGAAAAGACCATCTCCTCATTAAGCTATAAATTAAAAAAAAAATCCTTCATGATCAATATTCCAAAGTGAAAGTGTGCATATCCTATGTCGGCTCATTTTCTTTATTTTGCAATCAATTGCTTAAGCATCTTGAGAAGTTTCTACCTTCATTAAGAAATAGGAAAACAGCAAAAATTTCCCAGAAAAGCTTAGCTGCCAAATTATCTTTCTAATAATGTGTTGGTTCCTTGTGCTAGTACTGAAATACCAAACTACTCTGACAGATAACTGTTTGCAAAATAGTGTCCAAAGCTTCCAAACAGTATGAAATATTGGCTTTGGAACTAAGTGTTAAGTATGAGGACAAGGCAATGAAAAGCAGATAGTAAAGGGGTACCAGCAAGGGTTCTGGGATCCCGTTTCCATCCTGGCATATTAATGTTGGCAAAAGGATCCTTAATTTGTACAACAGCGATTAGGCTAGCTTTTTTTTTTCCAAAATAAAGTTTTGTTCAAGAAAGAATTCCATGCGAAGAATTTAGCGAAGCAGCTCACATTATCCCATTATCACAGTGTCTGGGTTTTACAATAGCCTCCAGCTCCTAACACAGTTCCTGGTAACGCAGGTCATTGGAGGAAGCAGTGATGGCTCTTGCCACACACCTGGGAGACCTGAGCTGCATGCTGGCTCCCAGGCTCAGTCTGCATCAACTCTGGCCATGAAAACACTTGAGAAATGCATTAAAGGATAGGACTTCCTGGCTTTTCTCTCTCTGTGTGTGTCTCTCTCACTCTCTCGCTTTCTTCTCCCCACCTTCCTTGTATAACTACCTCCATCTACCTCTCAAATACTAAATAGTGACAGAAACTCCAAATAGTTTAATGTAAGAAATACATCAGAAAAAAAATTTGAGGAATAATACAAAAGTACTTTTTCAAGGGCCAGGAGCTGAAGCTGCTGCCTGCAGCACCGAGATCCCATATGGGCATGGGTTCCAGTCCTGGCTACTCCCTAATGTGCTGGGAAAGCAACTGGAGATGGCCCTGAGTGCTTGGGCCCCTGCACTCATTTAGGAGAACTAGAGGAAGCTTCAAAATGGCCCCGCTCTTGTCACTGAGGATGACTGCAACATGCCAGGATGAAAAAGGGATTGCAGAACTCTCACTACTGCTGTCGTTGTGGTATTATATACAAATTCTCTCTCTCCTGTTCTCTGTAACTCTTCCTTTCCAATAAATACATATTTTTAAAGTGTGTTTACAAACATTACACTATATACATAAAGAACTTCTAAATTTCACATGCGCCATGCTGTCATTCATGTCCCGGATACTTCAGTTCCAACCAATATGCCTAGGAAAGCAGCAGATGACCCAAGTTCTACGGTCCTTGCACCCATGTGGGAGACTAAGATAAAGATCCTGGTTTGGGCCTGGTTCAGCCCTGGATGTTGCAGCAGTCATTCAGGAGGTGAACCAGCAGATGGAAAATTCATTCATTCTCTCACTCTCTCTTTCTCTCCGCGCACCCCCACTGCCCCATCTCCCCCACCCTATCCTGTGCATGTGTTGTGTATATGGGTAACTCTGCCTTTCAAATGCAAAAAAGTCCTTTCAAAAAGATTGTAAAATATCTAGTTAATATTTCTGTTTTTACAACGTATGGTGGAATAGGCCAACCTAATCAGACATTAGAGTAACTGTTTTCAAGGAAGGAAGGGAAGGAGGGATGGAGTCAGGGATAAAGGGAGGAAGAAGGCAGGGAGAGAAGGGAAGGTGAGGGGACAAAAGGAGGAAGAAAAGGGCTTTCCTAACCGTTCAACTTCCAATTCACTTCTCTGTTAGCGTGCATGGGAAGGTCACTGAAGACAGGCACCCAAGGAGCAGACCTGGATGGAGTCCCAAGCACTAGTTTGGAACAGTCCTGCCAATGCAGTTATGGGAGTGAACCAGTGGATACAAGATCTCACTCTCCTTCCTTATCACTCTGCCTTTCAAATAAATATACCTTCAAAAAATGACAAAGAGGAAGGGAAAAATGAAAGAAAGAAGCAAGGTAAGGCGGGAGGGAGGAAAAGAAGGAGGAAGAGGGAAAGGGAAAAAAAAAAGCAAAAGAAGAAAGAAAAATTTGAGATTAATTAAAATTAGTTAAAATTCAAACTAATTAAAATTAGTTTCCTCTTGTACTTTTATCAACATGTCTGTCAGAAAATGCAAGATTAAACATGTCCCTCACATTTTTAGCTTTCACTGCATTTCTATTGAACATGAACCGCTATAATGAATCAGAATGGATCACATTACCTTTGGAATCCTTCCAGCTCTGACACTAAGAAACTGTAGAAACAAGCTGACAATTCTTTTATTTTATATTTTATTGCAATTCTTAAACAACATTAATTTTGGTAAGTCTAACTTTTTTTTTTTACACTTCTCCACCAAGGCCTTTTAGTGTCTCCTCATTCTATTTTCTATGTATCCTTAATAGCCAGAAAGAAAAAAAAAATTAATGCGTCAGCTTACTTACTTCTAAATTGCAAAGTGCAGTTCACTAGGTCATCATGAATAAATAATAAAACTGTCACTTTTATCACAGTCCTTTTCACTTTATACTATCCTAAAGCCTTTCCATTTTTAATAACCAATAACAAGTAACAAACACTGAGTTATTTTCAGATTTAATACTTATAAAATAGAAGTAACAGTCTTAGAAGACTTTAGATCTCCTACATCCCAGCACTTAGCAAACAATCATGAATCACCTGGGGAACACTCAAAAAAATAAAAATTAATCCTCAGTCTGAATATTTTCATATTCAGGCCCAGCCAGTCTGGATGGGATCCAACACCTGTACTTTCTAAGTTACCGTGTAGCTTAGAAAAAGTATGAGGACTACTAACTTGATGTGTCACTAGAGTGAAATGAATTATCTTGGTGCCTTAGCCCAAGGGACCCAGACCTGTGACCGGGACACAGGCTTCCAGATGGTAGCTCACAGCCATTGCCAGACATCACAGCAAACACACATATTACTCACTCCTCAAGCGCCCCAGCCATCAGTATATCTTCTTTGTCAGTTTTCACATCCAACTCTGGTTCACCACTAAGCAGGAGCTTCAAGTTATAAACAACCAGCAAAGTACCTGGTGGAGAAATAGAGATTTGATATGTCAGCTTATACACATGGACCCAGTCATTATGCTACTACCTTATCTATAGAATTGAGCCTACTACAGATCTAATTTCCTTTGTCATTAAAAATGCATTTAGATGAGTTTCTAGACATGAGCATGTCTAATAGTCAATCCCATTTTCTGCGAGTTTTGTGTTCCTATAGTATGTTGATTCTTTTTATTATTCAACTCATCATTATAAAATTTTCAATGCAGAGAAAATTGTTGCAGCCAGATCCAAGCTTGTATAATAGATAAAGCTCTCACTAGGAGAACTGAAATAAATATTTATAAGAAAGATGAATTTTAAAATCTATACAAACAGGAAAAAATTGCCATACAGTATCTGTCACAACTATCCACAATTCAACTCAGCCACAGCAGCGTAACAGCAGCCATAGAGAATAGATTTAAAAACTTATCTCTATTCCAATAAAACTTTGTTTTCCAAAATAGATATTGGTTTAAAGATGACATGATAAATTTTCTTACACATGGTCTCCTCATTAACAAATGTTCAAATTCTCCACAGAATCATTTACTATATGAAAACAAATAACATGATCACAGAAATTTAAGAAAAAAACTCATTATACTTTTTGGTGTTTCTGTAACACAAAGGAGAATGGCAGAGTAGCAAAGCCCATGCACCATGGAACTATCTATAACCCAGATCTAAGTTTACTTGTTCAGTAATCTCAAGTTAGTTGCCTAAACTCAATTTTCCAATCTGCACATAAAGCCAACAACAGTTGTTTTAAAGATTGTATGACTTAATTGTTGCAAAGCACTTGGTAAAGTATCCAGGAAAACCCTCCAATATTACTTGTGCATTTCACAATTAAAAATTAACTGAAAGATTCCATCAACTGTTTTTAAGATACATTATGTGGGGGTGCACACCATGGCTCACTAAGCCTCCACCTCTGGTGCTGGCAAACCCATGTGGTCATTGGTTCAAGTCCCATCTATTCCACTTCCTATCAGGCTCCCTGTTCTAGGACCGGGAAAGCAATGGAGGATGGCCCAAGGGATCCTATACCCACGTGGGAGACCTGAAAGAAGCTCTTGGCTCTGGCTTTGAACTAGCCTAATTCCAGCCGTTGTGACGATTTGGGAACTAAATCAGCAAATGGAAGATCTATTGCTTTTGGTATCTCCTTCTCTCTCTCTGTAATTCTGCCTTTCAATAACTAAATCTTTAGTACATATACTTAGTGTGTATATATTAGTAAATGATTATTCAATTATCATGGTTTTTTTCAATGATAAAGGCAGAGATAACTTAAAACATTATCTTTCAGCAAACTGTCACAGATTAGAGAAAAAATTAGAGATGAATTAGGTCAAATCAAAAACAAACACCTCAAAATTCTTCTATACACATTACATATCTCAAAGTATTACAGAAACCAACATGGACAGAGCTTTCTCTCAAATTAGCCAGCTTCCACATTTAGATCTTAAAAGTCCTTAACTGCAGGAAAACTAGTGAGAGAAGATGTCAGCAGACATGGCTCACTGTCCATGCCAAGCAAGAAGTGCGTGGAGGCTCAAACATGGGGCAAAACATCTGTTCACCTGGAGAAGAGTGTCTATGAAATCTTTATTCAACGTTCTGCTGCAGACTCCTAGGTTCATCAAATCTTATAAACCAGTATCAGATGGCAGGATAAACTTCTAACTATGCTCCATGGCGCAGGGACATCCCTGTGCTCATAATCTCTATCATCCTCTTCTCCAGTTCCAAAAAGCTCATGAGAGTATGGCCCTTTTTTCAGCATGAGAGATATTGCAAACTCACGTTTGGTTTCTCTTAAGATAAAATTTGTATGTATAAAATGACTGATTGCCCCCATGTGAGATCCTACATGAAATCATTAACACACAAAGGATGAATGTGTGTATGTGTATGTGTGTAACATACACATAATGTCTTTCATAAGGCACTGAAAAGAAACACTTTCATAAAAATTTCAGTTTTGATGATCTTACCACATTTTCCATAGATCACATCAAACTGCTGCATTAATTCAGCTTCAGTTTTAAATGGGGAGTATTTATAAATTATAGACAACTCCACTGAGAATTTTTGAGGATCATTTGCGATAGGTTTTCTGTTTCTTGTTAACCAAGAAGGCATTGGAACCACAACCTATGAAACAATACACATCAATGTTTCATAAAGTTCACAGGGCCATCGTCCTTTTAACCCCTATAGAAGGCTTCCCCATAAAACAGCCCAGTTAGCTTACTTCTTGCGACATTTATGACTAGCAAGCTCCATCCACATTTTCAGTCAGCATGTTATTTGACTAACCCTTAGAATACTCAAGATTAACAGCAATCAAGGAGAAACCTCTAATATAACACATATTAAACAAAAAGCAGAAATGACTTTGAGGAAACAAACCCTAAGAGAAACAGAAATATTTCAAAAGAAGAACACAACAGCAATCATCTTAACATCTTTAGCACTGCGAGAGAAAACACTGCATTTATGAAATAAAAACTAGACACCTCTGGGAAAGGACTATTGAAAGAATTTAAAAATCTTGGAAATCACAAATATGATCACAGGAAAACTTCTATAAAAAGTTTGGAAGATGCTGGAAAAATCACAAAATAAGAAAAAAACTAACGATAAAAACAAGAGAGAAACATTTAACAGAAAAACTATTGTGTTTTAGGTAAATAATTTTACTGAAGAATGTGAACAAGTTTCACATATTTCACAGTACAGATTTGGTAGCACAGTGACACCTCCTCTCCCAGCCTCTCTCCTGCCCACATTCCTCACCCACTCTCCTTCCGGATTTTTTTTCTCTTAATTTTTGCAGTGACATGCTTTCAGTCTACTTCACAATCACGTACTCATCACTCCATTAAGTAAGGAATTGAAGTAACAAGCAGGAAAAAAAAGCACACTGTTCCTCAAGAAGATAGGCAAAGTCTGCATACAACAAACACATCTCAAAGTGTTCACTTTGTTCGTATAAAATACACATTTCATATACAGAGCAATTCTCAGAACTACGAATATGAGATTCACAAAATGAGACAAAAGAGCATGTGGGTACAAAACAAAAATCACCCGATGTTCTCTCTTCCAAGAATCAAAGCATACGAGCTTCTAGACGGAGAAAGTCCAACAAGTTCCCAGAACAATGGATTTAAACAGACCACACAGAGACAGAACACTGAAATCAGATGGAACACTGCAGACTGAGACTAAGTGGCCTTCCAAGAGTAGAGGGTAAGGGAGAAGAAACCACCAACCACATTAAGACAACTTTCAGAATAATCAGTAGCACCAGAAAATGGAACAATGTTTTTGAAACATTTGGAAGAAAATGAATCTAGAAACAATTCCAGGCCAAACTTCCACTGAATGTTAGAACAGAATTAGAAATATTCTACTCCACGTGACATCCTACTATATTTTACTTCTGAAGTACCCTTGCTCAGGAAGCTATATGCTGCACCATGAAAAAGAGAAAGCTATGACAAAAGACAAAAAACTAAGAGTCCAGTATAGATGAGATGGGAAGGGAATCTTCAGGAAGGCTATAAGGACAGACCTTAGCCCTGGGATGACAGCTGCACACCAGCCAGAGAGTGCAGGCATGTGGCCTGCAACCCACGAGCAAAAGGAGCACAGGAAGAGGCTAGGTTCAATCTAGCAAAGCACAGCAAACAAAGCAAGCATCCAGGAGACAGGTACACAAAATCGAAACAGTTAGCTACTAATTTCAGGGTAAATAAGGAGTTGAATGGAAAAATAACAGATAAGATGCAAAAGGACTGAATAGTGTTTCAATATTCTAATGACAGAGCCTGGCATGGAAGCCTAGCCTAGCGGCTAAAATCCTCACCTTACATTCGCTGGGATCCCATATGGGCGCCGGTTCTAATGCCAGCAGCTCCATTTCCATCCAGCTCCCTGTTTGTGGCCTGAGAAAGCGGTCAAGGACGGCCCAAGGCCTTGGCACCCTGCACCCGCATGGGAGACCTGGAAGAGGCTCCAGGCTCCTCCTGGCTTTGGATTGACTCAGCTCCAATCATTATGGCCACCTGGGGAGTAAATCAATGGACGGAAGATCTTCCTGTCTGTCTCTCCTCCTCTCTGTATATCTGACTTGGCAATAAGAATAAATGAATCTTTTACAAAAATATTCTAATGACATAAATACTAACTACTGGCATAATCAAAATTACAGTGATGATTAAGTCCACAATTTGTGATTGGATTTCTATGTATACAATCATACCAGGAGAAGAGAAGAGAAATAAAACAATAATTTTTTTTTAGAATTGCAGTTTAATAAGTGATATCCAAAATTCAAGTAGCAAAACCACAAGCAAGCTACTTAGAGATTCACAAATAAATATCAAAAGAATCATTTTGCATTATTGTTTAAGTGGTTGCTTCTGTAAAAATGGGAATGGCATATATGGTCTTGAATTAAAATAAAGAATTATGTGGGCTATTTTAGAAAAGTTTCAAGCTTAGCTTTAGTCCAATATCTCATACTCATTGCACACACAAAATACAACATGAGTGCTCAAAGCATCGCTTCTCATCAAGTCAGACTCCTCACTCAGCCATTCCTTACCACCACACACTGCTGTTCTCAGGTGGTTCCGGCTCTCTGCTGGCAGCAACAGATCTGCATACTGACCCCCAAGCTTCATGTGAATTCCGAAATCTAGATTGGCTGTGCCATGAGACTTGTCTCCAAACACCAACTTTTCCAACCGTACCCTTTCTCAACACCTTTGTTCATGTGAATCATCATGTGTGTACAACATTTTGTGACAAGGCTGAAAACTCTTAGTCACGTGTCCTCTTCTTGGTTTCTATGCTCTACAGATTGCATGCAATGCCAGAGTGACAGCAATTCTCAGTCTGCATTTCTTACATGAAATTTTAAGGGCAGTTCATAAGAGTAAACCTCAGGTATTATGGCTTAATAAAGTGCCTGTAGATCAGCAAACAGGAGTTGAGCTATTTACCCATATCTCAAGTTTTTTACTCAAGTTTTTATACGATAATTCATTACAGCACAAGTATTGGAGATATTATTTTTATTCTTCTTCTGTAAGTCTTTTGCACCAAAACAACATTGTATTCTGGAGGATATGAGCACATGGATAATGAAAAGAATCATTTCATTAAAGGGACAACAAAATAGTCCTCCAATGACCCCCAATATGTCTTGCTTTTGCATTTCTGTTTCTCAAATATATTCCTAAACTTCCAAATCATAATTAGAAAGAACACATGACAGACTTTCTCTCTTGAGAGGGCAAAGGAAAATACCACCAGAGCCACGGGAACAGAAGGCAACCTCCAAATCTTACCTCACTAAGACCTTCTCTTTCACAGAATGTCTGAGAGAAAAACACACAGGTCATCGTTTCTTCTGTCTTTGTAAAAAGAATAAAGTCTTTTCCAATCCTCATGGATCCACTATATGAAAAAATGAAGAACATATCGGTTGATATCTCAAACACTAAAAAAGAAGAAAACGGTTAGCATGGTTCTATATGCTCTAGCAGATTGTGGCTTAAAATCACCCTATATTGTTGCTCTATCACTAAGAGGGTACAAGTACTATTTTTATTCTTAAATTGGAGCAGACAGTTTGGAATGGATCCAGCCCCACACTCCTGTTTGATATGGCTGCTGAGGAAAGGGTTTTATCCAAGGCTCAAAAGAAAACTTCTGATCCTGGAAGGAGCAACATGGGTGAGCCACAAATCTTCACTTTTCACTAAGGTAAACAAACAAAAAACTGTAGATGTATCACCAGTGCTTAAACATGCTTTGGGAAACAACAGAGCATAGAAACGTAACTACTGCAATAATCCCTAAAATCTTTTCCATCTTATTCAATATGAGAATGAATTTTAAAATGTTATAAGGACTCAAGTCAGAAACAGGTAGAAGGGGAGGAAGGGAGGAGGATGGCTGGCATTGTGGCATTGCACACAAAGCAGCTGCCTGAAAAGCAAGTATCTCATGTAGATCCTGGTTCTTGTCCAGACTGCTTAATTTGCTACCCAGCTCCCTGTTGGTGGACAGGCAAAAGCCACACAGAAAGGTCTGAGTGTTTGGGAGATATGGAGGAAATTCCTGGTTCCTGCTTTCAGTCTGGCCAACCTCACCATTGTTATCTATGGAGTGAACTAGTTGGTGGAGAGTCTTTATCTTTGTCTCTCTCTCTGTAAGTATTTCATACAAATAAATTTTGGGGGGAAGCTAAGTATGAGGAGGTTAACATACTAGTGCAAGAGGTTAAGTTGCCTCCTGTGACAAAAGAGTAACCGTTTGAGACCCAGATGCTCCATTTACCACCCAATCCCCTGGTGATGCTCCTGAGGAGTCTGGATTGAGATCCAGGACCCTGGCTTTGTCTTGGACCAGCCTCAGCCTTTGTGGCACGTGAAGCGTGGACCAGAGGACGAGAGATCTCGCTCTCCTTCTCTCTGTCACTCTGTCTTTCAAATAGATACATATTACTTAAAAATGGGTATAAGAATTCTGAAGACAAGAGAGGTCCTTTTGCCAAGTTCCTATTCTTTTTAAAGTTTTGCATGATCGCATGATTGCATCATTTTACATAATACTCCTTTGAACTAAATACTGATCGCAGTAGTGATAAGATTTTAAGAGGGAAGACACTCACCTTTTAAGACCATTGCCATATTGCCCAATGAACTTCATGGTAGACAATCGCTTCCTGGATGTTCCAAAGTATATAATATCAGAAGCGTCCTCTGTAATTGACAGACTTTCTTTTGATGTTTGCAACTTTATAAAGTTGTATTTATATAAGGTGGATAAGTTTCACGTATTTCACACTACTGATTTAGGAGCATTGTGATAGAGTGATGCTTTCCATCTTCCCCTTCCTCCTACCTGAATGTCAACTCACCCTCCTTATGGATTGCCTTCTTTATTTAAAATTTTTTAAAGTAAATTTCTCAGTTCACTTCAATCACAGGTTTAATACTCCATTAAGTAAATAATTCAAGAAATACAAAGTAGAAAAAAAAAGGCCCCTTCTCAAGAGTATACACAAAGGCTGTGAACATTAACCCAATCACAAAATGTCAGTTTCATTCACACAGGTAACATTTTGGGAGTCTCTGAGAACGCCCTGACATCCAGTTATCAAGACTTCATAGGTGTCTCTGGATATTAGGATAAGTCTACAGCTGTTACGGTAACCTAGAGGCAGACTTGCTAAGTTCTACAATCTACTGAAGAATCTCTGTAGCATTAAACTGAAGATGTTCAGAGGTCTAACACAGTGACACTGGATACAGTTAAACCTCTGAGCCTTGGGCCAGCACTGTGGCAAAGCTTCGCCCCTCAGATTCACCTTTCTACTCATGGCCTGGGAAAAGTACAAGAGGACATGCCAAATGTTTGGGACCCCGCCACCCATATGGAAGACCCAGCAGTAGCTCCCAGCTTCAGCCTGGCTATCTTGGGAGTGAACCAGTAGACTGAATATTCTGTCTCCCCACCCCTTCTCTGTAACTTTCAAAACAGCTAAATAAATCTTTTTTAAAAACAAACCAAAAAAATTCCTCTGAGCCTTCAATGACTTCCCTCTGAAAGGAAACTACTGGGAATGTCATTTATCCTAGTGGCTAGGATACTTGTATCTCAAATCAGAATGCTTGCATCAACTGCCAGTTCTGGCTTCTCCCTTCAGCAACACGGGTCTCTGGGAGCAGCAATGGCAGCTTGAGTGAACACCTCAGTTTCATTCTCAGCCCCAGTTCAATCTAGCCCCAGTCCAGCCCCAGTTTGGGGGTAGGGGGAGCCAGTGGATTCCAGTGCCCTTTTCCCTCTCCTTCTCTCCCTCGCCCTCCCCACTCTCACTCCCTGTCCCTTTCTCATTCCTTTTCCCTCTAACATATGTATGCTGATCTGTCTCTCTTCTTCTAAAATGAACAAAAAATATTAAGTTATTTTAAACCAAACATTCATACAGTATCACAGAGTTCATTATGGAAACAAATAAAACCTGTTCAATAAGACAATATATTTGTGAAACTGTACTTAGCCCTTGAAAAGCACTATTTAATGATAACTGCCACAAGTACTTTTACCACTAGTAATATTTCCATGGTCTTGGCCCTTAAACATGGTCATGCTTTGAGAACTGACAGAGCACAGAGATACAAGTCAGCTCTAAGAAAGACAGAAAGGCTTTTGAGTTCATCATTTCACTATGTCAGCCATTCTCCTACTCTACCCATTATATTCTAGAACTCTAGAGAGAAATCTTCCGGATTTCAAAATATAAAGACTTCCAGAACCAAAAACGTTATTCTTTCGAAGTACCTGAAGACGCACTTTAGAACTGTCCTAAGGACTCTTCTGTCAGTCTGGGTACAGACGTGTGACAGCTCAGTGATAACACGGTATGTAAAAGTTACCAAATACACTGCTTGTTTCTGGTTACTCACAGCTCTTTATATGTTCATACACCAGTTAGCCATCAGGTGATGGTATCCATAACAACAATATCAGATACCATTTATTGATCGTCTACTATATGCTAGGCACTGTGTTATATATAGTACATGTTCTGCCTATTTAATATTCACAGAAAGCCTACAACATATTATTATGACTTGCATATTAGAGAGAAGGAAACTTAAAGAGTTTAATTGTGTATCTAAGGTTACAGAATCGATCAATGCTACAGCCAAGATTACAAGCATGCAATATTTTGTGTCAAATCCCATGGTACTTATCACATATGGCAAGAGCTTTTACAAGCCACAAGTGCTCTAGGCACGAGAATGGAATACTGCATAGACCAGTCATGAATTCTGTGCTCAATGGTGGTGCTGTCATAGCAGAAACAAAAAAGATTATACAGTTTGTCAAAGAAACAATATTAGCTTTGATAATTACGTGTTGGAAACTGATCCAAGGAGATACAGGATGGACAGGGATATGGAAAGTCACAACTGGAAGGCTGCAATTTGAGGTAAAGCTCAAGTAATAAAAAGGCCAGCCAGTTATTGACTGGGTTCGTTATAAGAAAAAGTAAAGATACATGCAGCCAAGTCATGCAAGGTCTGAGAAGTAAATTCAGCAGAAAATGATGGGATTTACATTAAAAGAAAAACAAACTCATAAAAAATCACATGTAGGAAATGGATGATTAGAATAGAAATTTGGAAAAAGAATACTTAGAAATCATTTCAGCCACCTGGTGTAGGCCAGTCAAGATTGTTCTAGCTCAATATGGACAACAGCATCAGACAACTCTCCTTTCTAATTTCTTACTTGATTTCCAAAACGAATTGAAAACTGCTCTCACGGCCACAATGCACTTTTTTTTAATGTATACTACTATATTTACAAACTCAAGTGTGAGTTCTTTCTGAATATTCATCACTTGCCTGGGTTCTCATCTCATGACTCACACAAAAAGACTTGCTTCTTTTCACAACAAATTTCCCTAGAAAGATTGCTTGTTTTTAACCAAAGATTGCTTTGGTTTTAATAGTCTTAAGAAGATGAACTTAACTTCTAGGTTTCAAGGGAAAATTAGATATTTTTTTCAGCATGGTATTCTTTTTCTTTCTCATATTTAAGCATTAACAAATCATTAATACTTTCACACAAAATGATCTTGATAACCCAAAATTATGTAAATGTAGTGGGTGGAGAGGCAAAACATTTTCTAAATCTGTTTATTAACATTCTTCAGTGTTAGCCCTGTGGCACAACACTGAAGCTACCAGGCTGTGATGGGCTCCCTGCTGCTCCACTTTCAATCCAGCTCCCTGCTAGTGCATTCGGGAAGGTGACAGAAGATAGCCCAAGTAGTTGGCACCCAGACATACACCGGGAACCCCAGATGGAGCTCCAGGCTACTGGCTGTGGTCTGGCCCAGCTTCAGCTGTTAGGCCATTTGGGTAACTAATTAGCAGATGGAAGATCACTTGCTCTCTCTGTTTACGCCCTCCCTCTCAATCACTCTGTCACACTTATCAAAGACTAAATATTTAAAAATAAATAAATATGCTTCAACTCCTCAGGCGGAGGGTGTCCTTGAGAGCAGGGAGAAGATAGCTGGATTCTGTCTTCCCAGCTTGTATCAGCACTGCTGATCACTGCTCACCTAGTTGTAGAACACACCGGAATAGTTCAGTACCACTTCAACTCTCTCCACAATTTTTAAACCCAGCAGTTAAAACCTCTAGCTTGTAGAACATAAAGTGCTACAAGAATTTAGGAATACAATATCTAACACAACTCATAGCTCTTAACAGAGGAAATAACGTTTCAATTCCACAGCACACGGATACTGCACTTACTATGTGCTGGCTTTGTGCTAACCTTGAATGTGCAAAGATAAGTCATGCCATATATTATAGATGTAGTTTCATTATGATGAGAGCATTCATTTGAAGCAATAAGCCTTTGAATGTGCGTATGGGGGCGGGAGAGGAGTGGAAACACAAACTTCTAAAAACAAAAAGCAACCTCTGCCTCAAGTTTAAGCAGACAATTAAAAACAGCCTAAAGGCACAAGAAGCTGCCTCAGGGCTCTGGCAGGCAATACCTAAAGGAAGTGTTTGAAACCATCTTAGCTTCCCAAACTGCTATATGCTTGGCATTCATTCCCACATGCTTCCTCCTTAGAATCCGTATTATCTGCCGTGCAGTTTCTAAAACAATTTATTTATGTTCAATCTTTTTTCAGGTATAAATGGCTAGAATAAATTTACTCTGCCAGCTAAACTATCTAAACATAAACCGTTCAACAGCAAGTTAAGTCTGAATTTTATTTTCCTGAATGTTCCATACCTGTTTTCACATAGATAGCTCCATTTATTTTTATTTATTTTACAGGTTTTCAGAGCATTTTTTTAACAGCCAGTTAGGTATCTACATAATTAACTTACCAGGGCTCATACCACATCCATCATCCAGGAAGCACAGCATGAATCCACCCTGCAGTTTTCCATTATCCACTGGAAGAGAAAGCAGTCATTACTGACAAATATTGGACTTAGTTTGTTCATCAGAAAGTCATGCTGCTCACATAATTATTTGTCTTCCTCAAATGCAGCCACAGAGTAACAGGCCTACACACAATGGTGGGGCTCAGAATGCAGTCATGGCTACAGCTTCATAAACAACTGTAGAGGAAAAACAATCATGCAATAGAGAGGTTTAAATTAATGTAAAACATCTACATACAAATAAATTGCATATATAGAAATGCATGGCATGCCCTAGAACTGGACTGCTCTTTTAAATTTGAGGTATTTCCTCCTCTAAGGAAAGAAAAAGCTAACTGGTGGTGTGACCCCAGCATCCTCCTACCACACTGATTAGCCTTCATGCCCTTCTATCACAGCAGTAATTCTAAAATCCAAGCCATTCTTATTACATTCATCAGGTTCCGCTAGAGATGGTTAACCCCTGAAGGAGAAATTTATGAATACGTCATGGCAGCAAATAGTTGCCTCTTGATCATGGATTTGATTTTTTTTTAATTGTTATTTAGAACCAATTCTGATGATTAAGACATACCATCAAAATTATATAGCATAGTTTCTGATTTAACAAATGCTAGAAGTGTGACTAAAACTAACGATCAAATTTAGAGCAGTTTATAAACTGCTTCTAAGAATAGTTTCAACAACTGGATACACGAGTTGCATCACATTACTTTTTACAAATAGCAATGATATCAAGGAACGTTTAATGAATTCATGCTTAATGAATTCATGTTTATTCGTGTGAATGTTTAAAGTGTGTAATTTCATCAAAATATCCTTTATATCTCTGTATGCCATCTCCACAATCAACACACTGAACACATGCATTATCCCCAAACACTTCTCCCGACTCTGTCACCCTTCCCCTCTCCTTTCATGTTAACTTATTTCATTCACAGGCAATCACTGGCCAGCTCCATCCCTATAAATTTGTTTCTAGCACCTGTGTAAAGTAAATATCTGTTCAAAGACCACTAGAATTGACACTAAAGAAGTAAGCAATTACAAAACAATCCATATAGAAAAGAAACAACTGATCTTAAGGATTTCACAACTTTATGGTCAGGGATTCACTCCAAAAACCTCCTGATAGTTGTCCCACTGTCCTTTAGGATTGGGAACATCTGGTCCAAACCAGAATCAGCATCAGCCATCTCAGCACAGTGTTTACTGCTGATGTTGAAGTTCCTGACAGATTTATCATGGAAAGAGCATTCTGACAGAAGGCTGTTCTTAAGTGACTATCTGGGAAAGACCCAGGATACTGGTGGTACCTCCTTTTAATGTAAACCTGCGTAAAAGATGGAGGTTAAACAAGTGTAACCTCACATTTTAACATTCCCTAATATCTACCTGGAAACTTGACCTTTTCTATTTCAATTCCTTAAAACCATGGATTTCAGATGGAATATTACCATCTGTTAATTAATCGTGTAGATCCAAAATGAAACCAACATTTTTCGCTCATTGTATTTCCTCTCCCTTTTACTGCTCCCAGTTCAATAAATGGCATTAACCTGCTAGTGGTGTTTAGCTTCCCAAGACAAACCTCAGGACCCACACAAAGACAAAACTCTCATCCACTCGATTCCACCTCATTCATGTCATCACGTTTTCCTCCTCCATGCTGGGTTTGTACTGGATTACCACAACCAATTTGTAACTTCTTGTTCTTGCTAAAACAGAAGGAAACTACCAGTCTGTGTCAGTGGTGCATTCTAGCATCCTCCCCTGAAAACTCCCCTGTGGTTCACAGTGCTTGCAGGATAATATCCAAGCCTTTAGCAAATCTTACTGTGCTGCACAGCCTATTCCTCTTCGCTCTCCAAACTCACCTCCTGTCAACCTGAAACAAATACTCCACGCTGAGCTAATCTTCAACCCTTCAAACACTTTTCCTACGTTCTCTCCAAATTAAAGCCATGGCACACACAGCCTCTTCACCTTCTCCAGGCGCTATTCACCAAGAAAATTCCTGTTTTCCCTTTAGATTAGTTCATGCCACACTTCTAGAAAGGCTTCATAATCTTCCACATCACTAGGCACCCTTAACAAACAATCCTTTTACTCTTTTACCAACTTAGTAACATGTTGAAATGCCTGACCTAACTGATGTGTCTATTTCTTGTTCAATATATAATTATTACATTTTAAAAACATTTAGTTGAAAAGAATGCAGACAATTCTTATCCACTGGTTTACTCTCCAAATGCCCACAAGAGCTCCTGGCCAATTTCAAAGATGTGGGATTGAATTTAGGTGTAGGTCTCTCATGTGATGGCAAGAACCCATTCCTTGAGTTATCACCACTGCCTCCCAGGGTCCACGTTAGCAGAAGTTAGAGTCAGAAGCTTGAGGCAGATGTGAGACCCAGGCATTCCAACATGGGACCTGGACATTCTAAAAGCAATGTGACCATGCAGCCAAATGCCAGCCAACTTGATTTTTTACAACAACTAGTTCACAGATAAAACAAGTAAGTTCTCTCCCCACAGGTCCACGTTACACTTCCACAGAATTCTAAACAACGATCCAGATTCCTTAAAAATAAGTATTTAGTGTCTAGCATTTGAAAATCTATGTCTATTAATACAAATACAGCAGATATATGAAAGATCACAGTAAAATATATTTAGTCCAAGCTATGTGGCCAGAAATTATTGAAGGAAACTGAAGTTTGGGAAAGCAATTCAGAGCCTCAGTAAACAAACTGAAAATGACTCCAATCTCGGATTAACTACACATTTGCAGAACAACTCTACTTATCAGTATATAAGCACTGGCCCTCATTGTTATTCTTTTCTTCTTGAAAATATCAATGCTAGAATAATAGTGGTATAATGGTTTTCTGCAATAAAAAACTTATCATGTAAATAGGTAATTTAAAACCCAAAACAATAAGCTATGTTTTATACAAAATATGTATAACGCAGAGAAGGAAGGGGCACTTTGATCTCAAATTTGCCAAGATCCTGTTGTGCTTATGATAACACCAGCTGCCGGAAGAAGCAGTGTGAAATGAGTACTCTCATGACCCCAGGGTCACTTGCCCAGAACACAGAATCTGTATTCTGGTTACATTGGTTGTGCTCTGTGATTCTAGATGAATCTTCTCAGCTTTTCATCAACAGCACATGTGCTCTGAAGGAAATGGAGTTTCACACTTGTTCTTCCCGCTCAATTGTTGGGGCCACTGCCCTGGTTGAAATTCTTAGGAAAGCTTACTGAGTTAACTTTGAATTCACATCTTCCTGGTGTCTCTGCTTTCATACTTCTTCAGACTGTATATTACACTCTTACCAGAGAATTTTTTAAAACAGAGAAAGTCGAGGGCAAGCCTTTGTATCTCACATAGTAACGCCTGGGTGCATGGCCTCGCTTCAGTTCTACTTCCCAGCTTCCTGATAACACACACACCAGAGGGCAGCTGTGATGGCTCAAGCATTTAGGTCCCCGCCACTTTCATGAGAGACTTGATTGGGTTTCTGGCACCCAGCTTCAACCTGGCATGGCTCCACCTACTACAGGCATTTTGGGAATCAAACAATAAAGAGAAGATTTCTCTTTCCCTGTCTCCAAAATAAAACAGAAACCTGTGCAACCACAGCTTTAACAAGGAAAAATAACAGATAATACATAGACTTAGGGGATTGATGCTGCTGCAAGTTCTTCAACGGTTCAATGAAAAGCCAGAACTCACTCTCCAAGGCAGGCATCCAGGGAGCTCTCACGCTAGCTCTAGTCAATCCAGCCTCATCGCTGTTCTCTCAAACCCTCTTTCTGCTTATTTACAGGGTTCACTTTCTCACATCATCCTGATCTGTTAGTCTAGCACATAGAAAAATGTCCCAGACCACTCTATGAAAAGTTGTAGCCCTTTACCATCATTCTAGGCTGTCTAATCCATCTTTATTTCTCACCCTCCAGTATTTACTGTAACAGTACAGGATTTGCTCATTTCTTTACTGTCCATCTCTCCTCACTAAAATGCATGCTCCATTAGAACACATTTTTTTCAATGTTTGTATTCACAGCACCTATAATAGCAGACACTTAATGGCTTGTTGCTGAATAAACGAATAAACAGCTAAACTGGCCTATATCCATTCTTTTGCTCATAACAATTCTTTGGTCAAAATTTTTCTTTTCTTCCGGGGACAGCTGGCAAAAACATCACATCATTACTTCAACTTCCACATCCTTAATATGTGGCATAATTTCCCCTTTCTCTGTATTCCCACAATTCTCCGAGGCAAGACATTTTTCTTCTATTCCAGGTATACAAATGGTCCCATGCATACAATGATTCAACCATGATTTTTTTTTCTGGCTTTATGATAATGTGAAAACAGTACACATTCAGTGTATCTTGCTTCAAATTTCACATCTTTATCTTTTCCTGGAATAATGGTGTATATTACCATATTCTTTCCCTTTCTCTCTCTCAGACACACACACATACACACACACACACACACCATATTGGCAAAGTGAAAGGCAAAGTCATAGTTTCCTATTAGCTACAATATTACAAGCCTAAAAAACTAACAGTACAGGCCTGCTAGAGCCACGGGCCTAGTGGTCAAATCCTCACCTTACACGCACAGGGATCCCATATAGACGCCTGTTCTAATCCCTGCTTCCCGTCCAGCTCCCTGCTTGTGACCTGAGAAGGTGGTCAAGGATGGCCCAAGGCCTCAGGACCCTGCACTCACAAGGGAGACCTGGAAGAGGCTCGTGGGCCCTGGCCTCAGCTCAGCTCAGCTCCAGCCGCTGTGGTGGAAGATCCTCTCTGTCTCTCCTCCTATCTGTATAGAACTTTCCAATAAAAATACATAGAATGTTAAAAATAAAAAAGCCTGAGAGCACACGATGTGCTCTGCTGTTTATGTGTTCAGCATGTCAAGTGTATGAAATGCCTTTCCCACTGGGGTTATTTTCAGTTTAGAGTGTTCTCAGTTCGTGCTCAGGCTAACTCCATCACAAGTCCACAGGTATCTGTAGTGGCGCACGTAAACCAGACCACCTTTTCTCTGCCACCAGAACTCTGCTGTGTCCCTTCATTCATTTTTCCCCTGTAAAGGTAAAAAAATCATCTCACTGATAGCTTAAGGATCAATAAACACTGATGCTTCATTTTCTCTTGTCAATGAGCTGCCTGAAGACAGCACAAGTATTTTTTCCCCCCATTGGAAAGTCACATTCAGAGAGAGAAGGAAAGACAGAGAGGAAGATCTTCCATCCACTGATTCATTCCCCAAGCAGCTGCAATGGCCAGAGCTGAGCTGATCCAAAGCCAGGAATCAGAAGTTTCCTCTGACTCTCCCATAGGGGTGTAGGGTCCCAAGGCTTTGGACCATCATCTACTGCTTTTCCAGGCCACAAGTAGGGAGCTAAAGGGGAAGCAGAACAGCCAGGATATGAACCAGATCCCCATGCATGCAAAGCGTGGATTTAGCCACTAGGCTACTGCACCAGGCCCCACATCCTGAGTTTTGTCCTTTTTTCCAGAAACTTTGAAGAGGATGCTGACTCCACTGGAGTACTGGCCCGGTTCTGGGGTTTCATCAGCATGTCTGTTCCTTCTCTCCCACTAAGCTACATGCTACAATTGAACTTTCATCCATTTATCAGCGAGAAAAGCTGACACTTTTATTCCTCAAACTTTGAGAACCTGGAAAGTAGAGAAAGGAAGAACCCCACTTATTGGTTCTTCAGGTACCTCAAAACACATATCTGTCTCTTTTGTGAACCACAGGCAGTCAACATTAAGAAAACTGACACAAACTGAGGTGCTTTTTAAATACACTCAGAGGTTTTCATCATGAACCCTGTCTTCTTACCTGTGACCAACAGCATGCATTATGAAAACAGGCAGCACATTAGCCATAGGAAACAGCTACCATCATGGACATTTCACGGCAGCTAAATGAGGAGTTAAATCACAAAACCTAATTTCATTAGCATTATAGTGTATTGAAATTAACTAGCAAGTGCAATAGATGCTTGGTGACTACAAGGTAGTCAATGAGGAAAACACATTTAGTGTGAACTTTGCAGCCCTGAAGCATTCAGACTCTACACCCATTTATGCATTTTAAAACTGTGATAAGTTGAAAATGAAGTACACTTGACTATGAATAACCATTACATTAATACACCGTTAAAAATAAAAACGTTTCTTGTGGCAGACAAATTCACTGTTCCAAATCGCTCTGATGCTTTCACAAAACTCGCTAAGACCTAATTTTGTAAATGAGTCCTCTAACAAGTGAACAATTTCACTCCCAGAGAATACTTTTCTCATGACTCCCCACTGTGCCACTATACTCACAAAGCACTTAGATTACATTTTTAAAAATCTATAGAATGTGGTATGATTTCATGACATAAAATAAAAGCAAAATAACTACAGGATTTTTTCCATTAGAAGAACAAGAAAGTAAATCTACTCACCTGAAAACACATCAAGCCTTGCAGCCCCTGCATCCCTGAGAACAATATAAAAAAATCACTGCTTCAATACGGAATCACAGATGAAATTACACTCCTCTGAGCTGCTTATGTGATGCAGTGATCTACTGTCAGCTATCAAACAATACAAAAATTCACTTAAATGCTTCAAAACCAATTACTAAAATTATTCACTGTGCATTTATATAGTAATACATATGATCCCCTATAATTTCAGAATACTGCCAAGCCTAAATTCATCAATTCAAAAGAATAATGGAGCTTAGTTATACAAAAAGTTCAACAAGAATACAAATTCTGCATTTTTTAAGTGGCTGCAGAAATCTTTACAAATGACAAAAAGATTTTCATTACAGACTTCAGTCCAAAGAAAAGAAAAGAACAAGCAAACTATAGTTTCTACTGACGGACCATATTTTAAAGAAATTGTTTCAGTATGATACACACAGGCATACATGACAGGAAAGAAACCAAATGACAGTGGGTGTTTTCTATAGGTCCAAGGTCGGCAAACTGGTTTATTGACCAAATCTGTTTGACTAATTGTATTATACATAAAGTTTTATGGGACTGCAATGATACATATTTATGTATTATTCATTTACGTATTATCTATGGTTGCCTTATCATTGAAGTGGCAAGAGGGAGCAGTTTCCAGAGTGGAAATACAAATTGATACACAGAAAATATGAGCTCTCTTCTACAGAAAACCATGCTGGACTCTGCCTGATGTGGTGACTTACTGGTAAGTTATTGGGTTTTTTCTTCTTTCATTTTTTTCTTTTTGCTTATTTTATTACATACTTTTTTACATTTAAAACTATTTCTAAAAGTAACAATTTAAAACAGCAAATGGGGAGTCACAAGATCCTGGCCACAGTATTCTGGGTAAAAAGAAGACGATGATGAATGAGGCCTTAGTTAATAAGGAAAATGGTACAGTAAGGGAAGCACACATCTGAAAGACAGCTCAGGAAGAACCAGCACTGCTCTGATGGGAAGATAAGCCCCTCCACAAAGCTCCCCCAATCCCAAACCCAAGGCTACCCCACCTCATTCCCAACAGGCACATGGCACGTGCTCTTAGGCCTATAAGTATGATCCCTCCTAGTTCTTGCCAATGGCTGCATCTAAGCTCCCTCTGTGGAAATTTCGAAATTGTCACTGCTATTTCTTGAGTGTTCTGTACATGTCAAGTAAACAATTAAGCATTTTTTTGAAAATTCCCTTTTAATCCTTATCACAGTCCCAAGATGAATACATCTCAATACCTACAATATGGAGCAAAGTGAAAGGTCCAGGCTGGTCCCAAGAAAACACCTGCTACTGACCTCCTAAATGTGTCATGAAGGAATGTGACTCAGATTTTTTTTTTAATGTGGCTTCTTCTCTTTTCTTTTAAATGTTACCTAAAATTCCTTTTCTCATCCTTTTTCTTTACAAGTTCTGTGTAAATTCCCACTGTGAGCCAAACAAGTATCAGCAAGGCCAGAACTGTTCAAGGTGTTCCAATTTAAGAACGTTCCTCCTGAAACTGTTTTATTGATTGTGTTTCTTGCACTTGATTGAGTCTAAAGCAAACTGTTCTTTCACAGTCACCTAGTCACCCTCTACTACCCAAACTCTTCCCATTGTTCTATTTTTATGCATTCTGATGTTTTCCTGCCCTCTTTCTGGTATGAATTTATGAAATAACTTCAGAGGAGAAAAAGCAGCTGCCAAAACGGACAAATGTGTTCTTTTCAGAGTCACAGATGTGAAACTGCTGACAGTGGATCTCTGGGTAGGATTTAGGACCACTGGCTGCACGAGGAGCTCCGCCCTATGCTCTGTGCAGAAAGAACAATGGCAACCCTAAACCCCCGCAGACACTCCAACCGTTTTGTCTGTCCTGGCCCCATCTCGAGTTCTTCCTAAGCTGACCTCTCGGCTCTCCTGAGAAATCAACACCATCCTTTTTTCTTCTTCTCTACCTACGATTCACAAGTTGGACAGACAGAAAAGTTTCCTAAAAAAGAAGACCTGATGCCTTCCTACTTAGAACTGAGCACAATGCAGGCAAGAAGAGCTGTGGTCCTGATGGAACCACTGTGCATTACAACTTCACTTTCTGCAGAAAAGCTGGGAAAGAAACCTTTGGCTTCAGGGGACACACATATAAAACAAACCAAATGCTGTATCTAGTTTAGCTGAAGATTTCATCACTCACAAGTTCTTCCAAGCACGCTACTGAGTGTATCTTCAGTTGCTAAAAGTGATTGCTTGAACATCGATACCTTTGTCAGAGAAAGTAAAATGGAACAGCCCAATCTCACAAGGTTGAATTCTAATTCTGCCAAATATTTTGTGACCATGTGTATATCATGTAATGTCTCTACCAACTCTTACATATGTGGTTGGGGACTAGGATATTACCTGCACCTTAAAGTGTTAGCATAAGAATAATAACTAATACAGATACTGTGTTAAGATATGTGTGACACACATTAGGTGAACTGTTATTTTCTTCTTACTGTGTAACTCCCTTCAAAAAGACCTCATTAAGCGCACAAACCTAATTCTCCAAAGTGCATAGCGTAATTTGAGAAGTATTTAAATGAATATCAGCTATTATATTGCCATTAACATAAAATAGCTCCAATTTATCTGCCCTTCAAGTCAGATCACTTATACAAATGGAACAGGAATGAATAATTCCACATCTCCAGTTGTTTTTCTTACAATGCTTGGATTTGCTAACAAATCAACTCCCAAAACATCCCTGATGGGAAAATAGTAACACTATCATTCTATCTTCAAATGCAGCTGACTGGAAATATGCCATGAAATTCCCTCCTAAATTGGTTCACAGGAACGTTACCTTGCATTGTCCAGCAGTTCAGCCATCGCTCCAAAAAGGAAACTGTGAGTAGTGCTGACGAGGAAATAAAGGGAAAACACAGAGTTGAACAAAGCATGCCAAGAGGATAAACAATGCAAGACATTGCAGACAAATGCTCTCCAGTTCCAGACAGATAATCAATTAAGAAGCTATTCCAGAAACAAATAGTTCGGCATGGTCAAGCTTCTGAATTAGACGTTCTCCACTACAAATCCAGGATAAGAACAAATTTACCAAAATATCTTGCTCAATCCAAATAACATTAAGACTTTGGGGACTTCACTATCAGAATAAACCCCTACCTCTAAAAATTGCTTTATCAGTAGGATGCAGGTATTTCTTTTCAAACAGTCCCATTAAAAGTTATATCATTTAAGGCTAATTTATTTATGAAGAACACAAATCAAAATACTACAGTGCTAAATGGTACAAGATTCCATTGGCAGCCAAGTGTTTCCCAAATAAGTGGCAGAAACTCAGCCACTGAGTCATCACTTTCTGCCTCCAAGCGAGTATATCAGCAGGAAGCTACAACTGGACACAGACCTGGGACTTGAACCGAGGAATGAACCAAGATAGGAGGGACCTTTAAAGGGGGCTTGGAGAGGGAGGGGAAGTGGAGAATAACATCTCCTCAACATAGTCCATGCCCCAAATGCTCAGAACAGCCAGCACTGAGTTTGACTAAAGCCAGAACCAAGGAATTCCATTCTGTCCTCTCACAAGAGTGCCCACATAGGTCACAGGGCCATCATCTCTGTTCCCATGACTCACTGGCAGCAACCTGAATCAAAAGCGGAATAGGAGAGACGTAAACTGGCTTTACCACACAGAATTCAAGTGTCCCAAGCTTTGGCTGAATCCGCTGCCTCATTACACCCGCCTAAACCTAGAACATATCTTTCTCACTTTCTGTTTCACAAAAGGACATGCACAAATTCAGATAAATAATTATATAATTCAACAATACCAAGCTCATTGCTACTTCTCAACTGGTTATTTCGCCGTTACACAGAGACCTTCCCGCATTCCAGCCCCACAGAGTGTGTACTCACGAATTGGCGTGGATGAACTCCAGACGCAGCTGGGCCCGCTGCAGCACCGCATACTTGTCACCCATGGCCTCCAACACAACACGCACGACCCAAAGGACCACGGAGGCTGCGACTGCGCGGTGACCACGTTTCTGCGCATGTGCACGCCCACGCCCACAGGCGGAGCCAGAGCGCGGCCACAGACGCCCCCTCTGGCCACCGCAGGGCGCAGCTCGTCCGTGGCGCGCTGGACTTCTGTGCTCGGCCCTGGTTCTACCCGGGAGGATGACGTCTAGAACTCCTCTTCAGGTACGGGCGATTTGGTGACCTTCCCGGACCATTGGTCCGTCCTCTCAGTCTTTCCGTCCTTTCAGTCTCTTCCCAGCTGTAAGATGGGCCTGTTCCATGACAAATGCCTGCAAACCCCTAAAAGAAAAGGCAGACTCTGGATCGTGTGGGAGAAAAGTGTAAGGAAACTAAATAGGTGGTTTCACTTTGTGTGCTGGAGGGAAGGGTGGCTTTTGTTCGAACCCAGCCCTTGCTTTCCTGCGTCACTTGACAATCTTTTGTCCCTTTGAAGGAAAAGAGAAAAACAGAGAGGATTAAAAAAAAAACTTCAGTCAGAACAGAATGAGGACTGGACTGTAACGTGGGGCCTTGTTTCTTGGTGAGCCAAACCCACCAGGGTGGGTCACTATATTCACATGCTTGGTATGCTGGCTTGGCTCAAGGACGGAATGTTCTGTGTTCCCAAAGATTGTACTGGGCAGACAACAGGCGCAGGCAATGGGGTTAAATATTCAAAGAAAGCTGTGTAGAATACCTGTTCAAATGCTATTACCCTACTGAATTCTACGTCAGCAAATACCAAGATGACAGGATTTGTCAAGTGTGCTGTAAGGAAGGGTTCTACTTGTGATGGGAAAAACTAGTTGACCTGAAAGAAGTGGTCAAACATTAATTGAACATTTGGAGTCATTTGACTTGGAAACTAACGTGATACAGCAGTATTTAGCTGGATTTGACATGATCTTCTTAGGGTCTCCATGAACAGAGAATTTGAACAAGAGGTGTTTGTGATTTCCAAGTATTATATAGACAATAAAATTCTCAGAAAAGTTAATTTTGGAGTAGTCATTCAACTTCAGGAGAGAAATTCATCAGCTGCAACATTTATATGAATCAGGAGAGGAAGAGAGAATTTAAATGGCAACCCAAAGGAACATCATGTGCTATTTTAATTTGAAGACTGCAAGTTAACATAAACATTTTGTGTCATTTTCCTGATTGCATTTTTGTTTTAATACTGGATGATATCATGGTGTTTCAATATCAGAATTCACTTTACTAAACAATTTGTGCTATCTTTCCCATTTTTCCTTCCATAAAATTTAACAGATATTATATTTCATTTTTATTTTATGGGCAAGAAAAGTTTGATGAACCTCTCCTGGCTTTATTTTACTACCCATATTTCCAGCTGCTGTCTCAGAGTAGCTCACTATTGGAAGGTTTCAGAAACCACAAGCCTATAATTAGTAAAGGCTGTAATATCTAGTCTGTATCAGAAGAAAGAATATTATTATCACAGAAGCACACCTCCAAAAACTTGAGCAGAGTCTTTCTACTCTAAGTGGCCAGTCTCCAAAGTGCTGGACAGTGTGGGTTCACCTGAATGACTCAGAGCAGGATCTGCTCCATTAGGTTCAAAAAGAGAGTTGAGGGTCAGTGCTCACAATCCACCCAGAGCCTTTCTGTTTGTTTCAGCTTCTCTTAGCCATTCCCTCACTCACAAATACAAATCTCATTGCTCTTCAAGGTGTCTTTTGGGGGATTCTTTATTGTGTCATCTTTCTCAAATACATCTCAAGATGATCTTTAAGATTTAACAAAAATACTTGGAATGAGGCAGGGACAAGCAAAGGAAATGAACATTGCATCCACACTTTCAGGTGAGTCTTTTGGAGCTGAAAGACCATTCAGCCTCTTCCTCACTAAAGAGTTTTTCAACATTTGTGATGTAGTTACAAAAAAAAAAATGCTCAAATCTTTCAGACAATAATTTCTCGTGGCTTTAAACAGGCACTGTATGCACCAACATTCATTACGCGGGAGAGCGTGCTTAAGCGTAAAATAAAAGCCGTAAGCAAAAGAAACTGGTATTTGGGGGCCAGCACTATAGCATAGCATAACATATTAGCCCTCTACTTGCAATGCTAGCATACCATATGGATACCAGTTCAAGTCCTGGCTGCTCTACTTCTAATCTAGTTTCTTGCTAATGCACCTGGGAAAGCAACAGAAAATGAACCAAATAATTGGGCCTCTCCTCCTGTGTAGGAAAGGTGGATGAAGCCCCTGGTTTTGATCTGGCCCAGCCTTGGCCATTTCAACCATTTAGAGAGTAAACAAGCAGATGGAAAATTCTCTCTGTGTGTCTCTCCCACTCCTCTCCATGTAACTCTGCCTTTAAATAAAAAATAAATCCTTTCTCAAAAAAAAGAAAGAAAGAAAGAAACTGGTAGGGCCTGGCACTATGGCCTAGTGACTAAATCCCTGCCTTGTATGTACCAGGATTCCATATGGATGCTGGTTCATGTCCCAGCTGCTCCACTTCCCTTCCAGCTTCCTGCTTGGAAAGCAGTTGAGGATGGCCCAAGGCCTTGTGACCCTGCACCCAAGTGGTAGACCTGGAAGAAGCTCCTAGCTGCTGGAGTAGGATCTGATTAGCTCTGGTCTTTGTGGCTACTTGGGGAATGAACCAGCAGATAGAAGATTTTTCTCTGCCTCTCCTGTAAATTTACCTTTCCAATAAAAATAAAAATAAATATTTAATAACAGAAACTGATACTTTAACCAACCAGCAAATATCCATAATAGTATTCCATGTTTTAGCATCTATAATTACAAAATGACATTGACATAATAAACACAGGAAGTGGATATTATTAAATGGATGGTGTTGAAAGAAGCCAATGATGGGGGTGAGGGAGTTCGGGAGGTGGGGGGAGGAGTTGAAGTACCAGGACCTGTGGAACTGTATCACTGAATCATGGTAATAATTTCAAAAGAAGTAAAAATAAAATTAAATTAAAAAAAAAAGCCAAGGACCCTGCCCTGAGTATATTGAGAAGCTTCTGGAAGCAACTTGGCCCTTCTAACATTTTTTTTTCTTTTGAGTAAAACTGAATTTGGAGGACCCAGCCCCACAGCCTAGCAGTTAGATTCTTGGCTTACATGCACTCAGATCCCATATGGGCACTGGTTTGTATCCTGGCTGCTCTACTTCCCATCCAGCTCTCTGCTTATGGTCTGGGAAAGCAGCAGAGGATGGCCCAGAGCCTTGGGCCCTGCACCTGCGTGGGAAACCCAGAGGAAATTCCTGGCTCCTGGCTTGGGTTTGGCTCAGCTCTGGCTGTTATGGCCACTTGACGAATGAACCAGCAGCTAGAATATCTTTGTCTCTGCTCTCTATGAATCTGCCTTTCTAATAAAAAGAAAAATAAATATATTTTTAACAAACTGATTTTGGTTTGTGTGTTTTCGTTTCTTCCAATATACTTGTTCTTGGGCAATGGTGGGGTTTTCATAATATTGAGTTATGAATATATCAGTATACTGATTTGAATATATTCATTATGAATATACCAGTATATTTGTGTGTATTTGAGTATACCAGATGCTCAACACAGTAATAAATACCTCCAAAGACTACGGAAATGCCTGACACCTAGAGTTTCCCCCCAAAACTAGTCATGATATTATATAATATAGAAAATATCATAGTTATTTTGGGTTAGCTGACCTAGTAGTCACTTTCAATTCTCTTAACATCTCAAAGCTGAGACCTCGCCTTCCTGAACTCTCCTGTGTTAAGAGGCAGACATCTGATCCAGTCTTCATAAATAAGATCAAAGCAGTCATGCACTCAGTGGTCTCTACAAAGGCTTTTATCCTCCTGATAAAAGGCACAAGCAGGGCAGAATCAATCTCCCTGTTTTCATATATCTTTCTTGGACACAAACACAATACCTGGACCTTTGGCTGTCATTTTTATGGATGAGAGAAAACTTAAGAGACTCACAGAGTGGATAGCTTCCCAGGCATTCTTGGATTACCAAGCCAAAGTCACCCCCCACTAATTTCTAAATTTTTTTCTAGGTATTAATTAATTAAAATTGATTCCTTAATTGTATATATTAATCCTTAAAATTAGTTCTTAATTGTTCATGTCATGATTGTTGTCTCTTCTTTCGGTTTTAGCCAAAAAATATCCTATCAAATAAAGAGAGGTGAAATCTATGCCATAGAACACTAATTGCATACTTTCTTACCACCACTGGACAATCAGCAGAACAATCATTATTACAGAGAAAAGAGAATTAAGCTTTTACTTGCCAGAAGTGGTAGATGTGATGTGGGATAGAGGAAGGAAAAAACTTCAGATAGGAACAGCCATCAGAACAATGACACAGAGCAAGGCATTTGCATCCAAAATATAATAACCAGAAGCATTTGACTGAAGCACAGAAACAGACGAGGTTAGTTTGTGACAGCATTGGAAGAAAGATTTGTGCATTCAGGTGGAGCTAATATTCAGTTAGCTAATTAGGATACATGCATTTGATGTATCCTGTGGGGAGTAATATATAATCAGAGTCATTATTGGCTCCTCTGTGGAATCATCTGAATATTTGGTAAGAACCAGTTATATGTTATGTCCCATGAATGTAAAAATAGAAACTCCTGTTCTTGCTTTGAAAGAGTTACAGTTTATTACAGAAAAGCTGTATCAGATTACAGTGTAGCAAACAGAAATCACCATTGATGGTATTTCAAGCACAAAAAACAGATTGCAACGCAGTGGCTGTTTTGCTTGCCTGTATGCCATATGGGAATGCCTGGCATTCAGTCCCTGTGCTTTCATCCAGCTTCCAGTTGATGTGTCTGGGAGACAGCAGATAATATGCTCGCACCCATGTAGTAGACTTGGATAGCGTTCCTGGCTTCTAGCTGTGTCCAGGCACATCCCTTGCTGTTGTGGGTATTTGGGGGAGACATGTGGGGTGAGTCCAAGCTAATAAAA